GATTACGCAATTAATTCATGAATAAATGCATCAATCAATTTGCCTGATCTTAATGCTTCGAGTTATTTATGCAAATGAGGTTCAAACCTAACGCACACATTTGCTGCTTGATCTGTCATATATAGATGTATAAGCAAAACATCTTAACGCTCAATTGCACACAAATCATCGCATGAGCGTGCGAAAGATTTACTGCTTTGATGCTTCATAAAACACAAAATGCCGACCGTTGTCACGAAACGTCGTCGATAACGACATTCGTTTATCTCGACATCATCCACACCGCATATTTCTAATGAATTATGCTAATTGCTAGTGCTCCAGCAAATGTGTTTCAAACGAATGTGTTCTACATCAAAAAGCAATGGGTTCAGTAATACCCTAGGTTCCCATATTCTTCACAAACAGTAAATGAATTCATGAACGAAAAATGAATTTCAAGGTCCAGTTAAACTATAAACAATGAATGAATCAATTGTTTTGAAACTTGAGATGCACATGCGGACAGCCGGAAACAATTAAATGAATGCTTCCATTAAAAGGAATGAATTGGATAAGCTGTTGCTGAATGAAATCATTCAATGACTCTGCACGATATACAATCCGATGCTATTTGCTAAAGAAGCAAATGAAAATTTTGTGATTGGAAGATGTCAGTCAATTACTTAAGTCTCATCTGATTGATTAACTTGAATTTCTTCTAAATGAAAAGTTTCCTAATGACACAAATACGCACTGATGAAATGTGATGCTGTCGTAACGTTGATATGCATCCGTTTATTTAATGTTATACTTTATTGCCCGTATTCAATTAGTATCCCATTTCAGTATTTCCCATCACGATATCACAACAAATTCGATTCATGATTGCGATCGTCAGTGTGCAAAAACACTTCAGAGGGCATTCATCTAACATTACGTGATCTAATCGAGATTTGTCCATTTCGAATGAAATCCCAATGAATGATGCGTATTTTTATTCATTTTGAATTTTGAGATCAGTTTACCATGAGCACTCTAACCATGAGGGCAAAAGAGATATTGAGCATGCTAGTGAATGGAAAAACCTCAACAAAAGGCACCAACGATAGCCTTTGAACCGTCATGGTGACATCACAGTTACAATGACATCATGAAGAGAGTCCATTAATTCTGTTTGTTTGGAGGCATATTTGCAAAGAAAAACTCTGATAAGTTGTCCCATTTCGTAGATCTGACCAAGCAAAATTTCATCTGATTTGAATACGTTACTCAGAACATTCACTGAGGGTGTGTGTTGCCAAATGCCTTTATGAAGAAGGTATTTTGATAGAAATATCAACCATTTACAACGCCCAGTTGAATAGGCAATTATCGACATTATTGCGTAGTAAGAGAATTGCTCGAGGTGAGTTTAAAGAATTCCCTTGATCATTACCTCGAAATTTCGTTAATTGTGATCAAGCTACTAATGAATTGGAATCCATAAAATTGCACAAAATGAAATCTGCATTGATAAGTTATTATAATGGCACAAATGCAAAGGTTCGTATTTGAAATCCCGCTTAATAAGGTATCTTACGTTTGATTTGTAAAATAATGATTCGAGACAAAGTAATCAAACACCGAGAATATGTTTTCGTTTCTTTTTTTGGTGTGGAAGACGGATAGATGACCTGCAAATTTTGATTGACGAGAATCGATTAGCGACACGATGGATGATGGAAAGCGACCATCTCGTTATCCGTGGCTTAAGCTAATCCTATGTGATGTACATGACCGAAGCCCCATTAATCTCCGTAGAGGTGCTAGATTATTCACATAGACCATAATTATTTAGTCAAATAACATGACGGATTATTGAGTGTTGTATTAATTTAATATCAAATGCACTTTTCGAATGACTTTCATGTGCTTATGGATTTCCATTTTTCGGCGAGCTCAGCATCGAAAAAGAGATCGTATAATAATTGTTCCCCATCATATACCAAATGATCACAGACAGTATCACAAAAAATGTTTCAATCAATCACGTTCACTCGAACTAAACTAATCACAAAACTTGACTTCAAACAAAAATTCCCCAATTCATCATCTTTCAGCAATTATCTTGAATTTTTGTGCTCCAATCAATTCTATATATATTTATTCAAAATGCAAGCTCGATCACGAGTCTTATTGATCAGTGCTGCATACTTAATGTAATTGCATACTATTGATGATCAGTGCTACGTCACATCTGCACGAGTGTAATAATCTAGTTAGTCGCTGAGTTATGTAAATTTGCAAACAAAGCTTTCGAGTGTAATAGAGGAGTGGATATTGCATTCGTTTGTCAACAAGTTGTTATTGGAAAATGAAGTTGAAGGAGCATTACAGCAGGCACTGGACCTTAATAAGCACTCAACTCTGACATTATTCATACACTGAAACAAAAGAGTATTCTTCTAACTGTAAACAAAATTCCTTTTTAAAGTGTTGCAAAAGCTCAATACAAAAAAAAGAAGACAAAATTATCAGCATAAATTCAGTTGACGAAACAGAACTGACTACGGCTTAGAAGATACGGGAAAGTAGTAGCTGGGAGTCATGAAGAGTTTCGATGCTCTTTGAATCAATCGTAGATGCGTGTTGAATGTAACTGATCTATTTATTATGCTTATACCTGTAAGATTCACTGATTCTTTTCAGTATCGTCCACCTTTGCAAGCCAAATATTTCGGCAACATTTCAGGAGGGAAAACACGCAGCACTGGTCTCAAAGCATGATGTTTCTGGTTCGAAATGTGTTTGATAAGTCTCTGTGAATCGTTTTAGTTGTTTTCAGTACAGAGATTTAAGATGAGAATAGATAAAAACAAAAGAATATCGAATGAAGGAAGGAGGATATTGTTGAATCAAAACAAAAGATCGATGGTCAAAATGGATCGTTTTGCACTTATGCGCGTTGTCGCATAGCCTTATTGGATATATTGGGTATTGTGTTGGCATTTTGATTCAGAAGGACCTAATGAATCATTATTCAGTGCCATTATTCAACGAACGCATTCATTAATCTCTCCACAAAACCTAATAACAACCTCAAATGATTATATTATAAAGCAAAAATGGATTTTTGTCCATCTATTCCAAATCGAGTTATCGCGTTAATTTCAACTGTGCAATCCGTCTCTTCACGACGTCGTCTGTTGGCGAGCCGTATATTCACTGATTCATACAATAGGCCCCAAGGCCTATAAGCAATTCATAACGCTTCTCGTGCCACCACTGATGCTTTTCGATAAAATTCATGTGAGCAACACAATATCATCGACGACGAAATTGATGCTGCGCATAGCAATGGACAGCAAACTCCGCGAACTGCTACACTAACTCGCAGTGAAATTGAATTTTCAGTTTTCGTGCACGTTCCAAATTCATTAAGAACATTGCAATGATCATTTACGTTCGATGTGCTCAAACTGAAATTTCAATGGAGCTCATGCATATCCTCAAGATCGATGATTGGATTACTTATATGGAGTGTTTGATAATGAAATTACACATGTACATATCGTGAAAGTGTGAAGAGTGACACTGATATGAACAAATGAATGCACATGTTGACAGTTGTTCAATAATACAACTGCATATTGGTTAGCATTTAAATGTGCATTGTTTATGGATGGCATATGAAAGGTTCGTTTGATTGGTATGTTACGCTTTGCGATGCTCGTATCATCCCAGTGGGAATGAGTATCTTCGAAGTAACGAATCAAACTCGTAGATGAGCATTCACTCGTCTTCATGGCTCTCAACATTTACAGACAGTCCTTTATGAATAGAATGCTCACAAATTTAGATCACTGAAGACAATCCATAAAACTTTAGCCACAGGACAAACAGAATCGCTAATGTGAGAATATTCAGCAGATTCATAAAAGATTTCTGGCAATGGCAGATGAAGATTAATTCACGAAAGCAACGAGCATTCATCAATAGAATGGTTTCCATATATGGTATTCATTTTGAGATGCTCAAAATTACATAGCGACGAAATTGTATGCCACAAATAATCATTTATGTGATTGCATTAACAAAATCGTATGATATCTCTATATTATGCACACATTGTTTTTTGATTCTAAAGTGTCTCATATCTTATTGATGCGTATTGCTTCATTCGATCTGGAATTTAACAATGGAACAAACTCATTGAAAAAATTCAATAAGTCTTTGCGCATCACTGGATTCAGTATTATCAATATGTTTGTTGAAGCGTACTCAAAAGTGCAACTAGATTTGCACATTTTTACGCTTCTCTGACTCGAAAACAATTTCATCAAGTGTTTTCGCTTGGAATTCCTTTGAATAAATAAATTGAAGTCATTCAAGTAGTACTGATATAATGTTGACTGGTTTTCTTTCTGTTAATTTCTATTTTTCACCATCAGTAATTCGTTGAGAACATCAGAATACATCCGGCTTTTTCGTGAATAATGCGAAGATTTCTCATGAATGTGCGGAAATATTACATTACATTCAAACAAATGATGAAACTCATCGCTTTTNATGCTATAGTTTGGAATTGAATGCAACTCAGAAGCATGAGAATTATTTTAAACGCAATTCTGGTACAAACTAGAAATCGTCCATTGCTTGATTTCGTACACAACACTGACGAGTAGTCATTCTCTAGATGCTAACAGACAAGAACTGAAAGCGATACCTACGTACGATCGAGAAACATTAATCGCAAACTTATGTCCACTGAAAGTACTCACAGTAAACGTACATCTATGAATACGTATAAGTTTCATGGGGTAAAACTAAAGATAACTTCCAAAAAAGGTACTCACATAAAAGTGAATGTTGTAATGGGTCGATAGGATTTGTGACTGCGATCCGACTCGATTGAACGTCCCCAAAAATCTGTTCGGAATACATCCCATAAGGGACGTTCACCTTGCACAACCGCGTTATTGAGAATCGCTTCTCGATCATCAAAAACAAAATCGCCGTTGAGATTTGTTGAAAAGCAAATCGTTGAGAGGGCAATCAGCACCAGTAGGTGATATGACGATGGCGATTCATGCGGTACGATATCGCGTGTTCGTGATCTAGTACGACATTTGGTGTGATGGTTGGTTTGACGCGGTGAAACCTTGCGTTTCATTCTCATTCAACGCCGACGAGCATTGCTCATATGGGTGCTTGACTGAAAATCATGAACTCATAAATAGGCGAATGGCCTCGTGAAGCGACTCTGAAACAACGACAATTACGAA